GGGGAGGGGGTATGGATTGCGTGGGGGGTTAGTGTAGTGACTGAGTTGGGACGGCTGGTGTGCTGCGTGAATGCGTGGCGTGTTGGCTAGTGTCGATGGCTCTGATTGGACGCACACGTGTTCACGAGGGGCAGTTTTGTTCGTTGCGTGGTGGACTGGATGGATGGACAAATGGGTCCTTACATGATGACGGACGGCGGATCCGATCCACTACTTGAAGCGCGATCATGCATCATTCATTATGTGTGTGTGTGCCACTGTCCGTCAGCGATCGTTTCCGTATCCTGCATTCCATCGCTCTCTCCTTGTTTGTATCTTCCTGCAAGGTTGGGAAAATAAAACAAAACAAAGCTTAGAGTAAAAAGAAAGAGGCCCACTGACCCACCGCCCATCCCATGGCTCCCTACTCTTTCCGCCACGTCCACCTTGAGATTAGAAAAGGCCGTCACCATTATACATATCAATATCATCGACCGCCCCACTCAGTCCTGCCTGCCTGTCTGTCTGTCTCTTATCATTTCATCTATCTGTGTTATGCTCATTCGAGCTCCTCCAGGGCGGCCTTGATATCCGACCAGCCGCCCACCACCACACCGCTGCCCTTCTTGTCTCCTTCCTCGGCGGCCCTATCCGCAGCTGGCCCTGCCGCACCGGCGCCCGCCCTCGCACCCACCCCCACCGTCCCCCCATGGTGAATGGCTATGGTGCGCCTCGCTGTCGTCCGTGTGCGTGAGTGTGTGCCGTGGGGAGCCATGGCCAGTGGCAGCGGGGGCAGCGCGAAGAGGGTCCCTGCACCTGTGGCCGCCTTTGGCGTGGGTGTCGTGCCGTTCGTCTGGCCGGGCTTGCCCTCGATCACTGCCGAACAGACAGCAAGACATGGACACAGAAGAAGAGACATGTCTACAACCTGTGGTGTTGTGACTTGTGTTGTCGCGTGCGCACCTTCCCGCAGCACTGTCCAGGTAGTTTCGGGTGCGGCTGTCGGCAGAGGGGGAGGCAGGAAGCGCGCGGCCGCACTCGACGCGTTGAGACGCGACAGGAAGAACAGCAGGGATATGTATGTCTCGGAGGCGTATGCAGCGGGGGCGAGATGAGGGGCAATCTTGAAGTGCTCGTGCGCCGCACTCACACACTGGCTCTTCTCGCTATCGGTGAACTCCGGCACAGGGGCCTTGCTGGCCAGGGTGACCACGGCAAGCTGGAAGGCCGTGAAGCTCATCTCATTGGCCTCGATCTTCCTGTCCTCCTCGTTGCCGGCCGAGACAGCACTCCAGTATGTGCGCTGGATGGTCACTGGGGCCAGCAGCTCCGACACGTCGAAGTCGGCACACAGCTGCTGGAAGCCCGACAGGGGCAGGGAGTGGCCGCCCCGTGCGTAGTGGGTGAAGAGCTGCTTCACGCGGGGGCGGATGGATGCGAGCAGCTCCTTCACGAGGGGGTCGGTGTTGATGGCCTTGACCTCCGCTGTCTCGGCGGTATGGTCCTTGGCGACGGTTGCGTCGCACAGGGGTTTGAGGATGTGAGTGGTGAGGGAGTCCATGGGTGAGGGGTTCTCGCTCTCCATCGCCGCATGCACCTCGCGAGACAACTCCTTCAACGCCTGGAAACACACACAAAAGCGAGACATGGACGTTTTTGGCTAAGGCGAGTGTATTGTATGTGTCCTTTTCTCATCGACCTTTAACCACTGGTGCAGCTCCATGTGATGCCTTGTGCTGCGCACCATCCCAGCCCCCACCCCAGACCTCCTCTCATCGTCGCCCTTGTCTCCCTGCGACGGCACGGCACTCAGCCCCGTCTTGGGCAGTGTGGTGGCGGCCTTGGTGTGTCGCACGAAGAGCAGGTCGGCCTGCACCTGGGTGAGGGCCGGGGCGGGCAGCACGCGGAGGGGCAGGGGGCGGATGTTGCTGCCATCTTGGTTGGTGGTGTCGTTGGTCAGTTCTGTGAGTTTGGTCTGCTGCAGGGAGGGGCGTGAGGCCACAATGCCCGTCTCACGGAGGAAGCGGGCGAACTTGGCGGATGAGAGGTGAGTGCGGTTCAGGGGATCTGCAGCACATGCAGTGAGGGAGGGAGGAGACATAGACAGACAGACAACACCCTGTCTGTCTGTCTGTCTGTCTGTCGGTCTGTCTATATATGTACCTCCGACAGAGGTGTAGTAGAGGAAGAGCCGCTTGGACAACAGCAGCTGCTCGTCCGTCATGGGCTCGTCAAACACCACTCCCTCCTCCCTCCCACCGCGACGTCGACCCTCCCCCACACCCACACCCCTGCCCCCTCTCTCATCCCCCCTCGCCACCCCACCGCCACCATTATTCGACGCACTGCTGCCCTTCTCAACCACAGGTGTCTTCAGTATACCTGTTTATAACGGTTTACATCAAAATAGTTCAGCTCTCGTGTCATCCATGACGGGTGGATGGAAGAGAGCATAAAGGTAAGTATGCATACCTGCCTCGCGCAGCAGAGCGGCCGGCAGCAACTTCCCGAACCTGCTGGTGGGGCCCGCAGCTTCCGCTCCTGGGTGCTTGGCGGCCACGGGGAGATTGCCGGTGGTGTTGAAGAAGACGACCCATCCCTTGGAGGTGTCCATGGCCGCCAGCAGGCGCACGAACGCCAGGGTGTCGCTGTCCTGCGGGGACAGCTTGCGAGCGATGTGCAGCAGACCCATCAGAAAGTGAGGGAATGTCATCTGCCCGCTCTTGGCGTCGGCTGCCGGCTGGGAGGCGTGGGTGGTCAGCGGCAGCAGCGATGGGTGCGGCGGGTATGCCAGCGACTCGCGAAGGGCGGCATAGGCCTACAGACAGACAAAGGCGACGTCATGTCATGTTGATGTAGTTTCGTGTCTCAATCGGCGCTTGGTGCACCTGCGGTTTTCCGATGAGTGCGGGAGTGATTTCGAAGTCGGTGAGGAAGCTGCTCCATGCCTTCATCTGCTGTGCCTCCAGTGTGGAAGCCGCCAACGCAACCCCTGACAAACAACCAACAAGGAAAACAGCGACGCGTTAATTTTCGGGCCGAGAGATACGCCAAACATACACGCACATGAGGGGAAGTATCCTCGGAAGAAGCGCTCGAGCAGCGGAGCCACCGTCTTGAGCATCGACACCCATTCGCCGTCAACTGCACAGACAAGCGCAACAACACATATGCTCCGTCCTGGTGTATACATAGCACGATTGCCTGGGGGAGGGGCGAGGGGATCAGCACAGAAGGACGACAGATGCTCCTCATACAACTTCATCTGCACACACAGATAGCAGCAGCCCATCAGCCCACAGCAAAGGAATCCACAATTGCAGCAGGAGACGCACGTACTGACCAGAGCCGCGGGGGCTTGGAGGGAGGTCCCGTACTTGACATTGGCCGCCAGAACCATAACGTCCAGAAACTGACGAAGGCTCATCTGCACCACCCCACACAGCAACAAAAGCACCACCTACCGACCGTACCCACACTCCCTTGGCTACATGCATTACCTTTGGCTGTTTGCCGGTGACTTTGGTGAAGAGGAGGTCCAGTTTGGCCGGCGTGAGGGACTCGTTGAAGAGACAGGAGTCGATGGCCATCCGCTGCAGCTTTGAGGACTTGAGAGTGCGGTTCGCCAGCACATTGGACCCTCCTTCGCTCGAATAAAAGTGAAATATCGATACCAGAGTCTTCTGCAGATGCACATAAGGGAGCGGCCAGAGGCATGCGCACACTGCAGCCTCTCTTAGCCCTCTGCAGCGCTTCTCTGGCCTGTCTTACCTCTACATCATCGAGCATTTTCTTCTTGGGTGACGTCTCGGCGTAAGTTTTGGTAAGGAGCTCCTTCCTCACGTCAACATTGCTGCGGAGCATGCTCTCCAGCACCAGCTTCTCTGCCGCCGGACGGTCCAGCTTGACAGGCGAGTCCTCAAGCTTCGCTCCAACTACTTGCGATGCGACTGGCCGCCCTGGCGTTCCTCCGTTGCGGCCCGGGCCGGCTGCTGTGGGCAAGTGGGCTGTGGGCTTCATCGTGTGATCCCTGTGCTAAAGCGACAAAAGGAAACGCTACTCACGGCTTCCTTAGAAAATGAGCATAAAGGGTGAGACGCCCCCAACTTTTGCGAGCTAGAGGGGGAGAGAGGCAGAGAGAAGCGAAAGGGGGAGAGAGGAGAGAGAAAGAGGTGCGAGGGCTCAGCGATGTCGCTGCATGTTGTCTTGTGATTCGCAGATCATCGCTTTGAGTGAGTGCTGGCAGTCAAAGATGAATCTCACAGAGTGAGGCAGATCAATCTCTTTGATGCTTTCACACACACGTGCTCACAAGCACGTACTGCATCTGGTGCTGTGTGTCTGCAGAGCCATGCTGCTGACGGGCGTCTGGTAGCGTTTGGGGTGAGCAGAGCAGCGGTGGTCACCCTGCACATCTTCGACAGTGTCCATATGTTGCGTGGCAGGCGGTGGCCGTACAGTGTGTTAGAAAATGTGGTGTTGTCGCTTACTTGTCGTGATTCTGGGCATCGCATCATTGTGCCGATATGAATGTGCTCCGACGGCGTCAAGCAACGCCAAAGACCTCTCAGGTGTCCTCCGCCGCGTCGACACTGCCAATGAGAAAGGCAAGTCAGGGCGGAGGAAGGGGCGCTGCGGCTGTCGCACTGTGCGACGGCTGTCTTTGGTGCAGGGCCTCCGGCACGAATGGAAAGAGATCCGTGTCCTGTCCTCGAGAGATTCAATGCAACCCTCGATGCAGGCGGCTCTCGGGAAATTGCTTATGTCGATCTGGTCCAGCAAAACTGAGGAAGCGCTCGTCGCGCACCCACTTGCAAGGATTATCTGTTTCTGTGTGTCTTCTGTGTGTCTTCAGGATGACCTGCGGAGCCAGGGCTTCCTTGCAGCTGTGGTTGCGTCTAACACGCTTTCGCGGCTGCTTTACGATGATGCAAGCCTCTTTGCATCCGTTGACGGGTCAGGGAAACATTCGAGAGATCCCAATTAGAAAATACAAGTGCTCTGTCTTTCTTGCTTCGTGCAGCGAGATCATCGGCGAATCACGTGAACCGTCCAGCGGTTTTATTCTTTACGAAGATCTCATCTCTGTGAGTACACAAAGTGGCTCTCTTTTGGAGGCGAAAGTCGTGAACGAAGATGAATTCAATGAATTGCATGTGGTATGCATGGTCAAAAATCGAACCATAACTGCACAAGGACGTTACCGTATGATGCGTTTTGAGTGCAGGACGTGATCGTGTTTGCGGATGATGCCAAATGTGAGCAACCCGTCCCAAGGGCGTGCCCAATTCTTGAAACATTCAATGGGACTGGCGAAAGTGGTGACTCTGTGGCGATTACTTCCATCGATCTGGTTGGCGCTTGACCATAATGCAGCGCCTGGATGCGTCTTTCGATTTTGTGTGTCTATGCTTTTGCATACGTTCAGGATAAGATGCGAAATGGCGGCTTTGCTGCTACTGTGATTACTCTCGAGCCGTCTGTCGGAACCATCGACACATTTGTCGACGGGTAAGAATCAAGGCAAGCAAATGCTCAAGCTTATTATCGTTCCATCAATGCAGCGAACCATCTGGCCAATTCTTCCCCTGGGTGAAAGGCATCAGTCCAATTAGTGAATTTGCTGTTGTGAGTACCCAAGATGGTTCCGTTGTGGAGGGAAAAGTTGTGTTTCTGGGCCTCTATCCTGCTGTTGAAGTGGTGGTAAGGAGATAGTGAGCATGTGAAATCCAATGCGTGTGAGCGTAGATGTGAATGCAGAACGTCACTGTGTGGGCTGATGATGGTGAGTGTGAGTTGCCAGTACCGCGACCTTGCTGGCGACGCAGACGTGATTGGATTCATTGATCGGTACACTGAAGAAGAGACACACATGTTGGCAGCCCTTTAATTTGTATGCAGCGAAGCTGTGGGCTTTGTCGATCGGAGGAGATCAACTACATCGACTGACGACGGATGTGATTATACTTATGAGGACTGGGTACAGATGAATGTCTCGCATCCTTCTGCGAATGGGACGCTTCTTGAGGTGTTTGTGGTCACATACGGCAACGAGACGGCTGAAGTGGTAGGTCAATCATGAACAATGGCGCGAAGGGATATGTGCACCGAGGTTTTGTCATGATGGGTGCAGAATATAGTCGTCTGGCTTGATGACGGTCCATATGTATATGACGATTCATATGTCCCTGACGGAATGTGTCAACCACCCGTCCGTGTTGGGTCGTGTGTCGGTTACATGATGGGCCCGATTGGTGGCGAGGACAGGAGTGAGCTGCCTTACGAGGAAATGCATGAGGAAATGCATATGCTCTCTACTCTCTTACGCCTTCTTCAGGTGGCTTTGAGCACCCAGAAAATGATCCAATCGACGATGACGACAATGATCGACGACCGTAGTAATTAGGCTGCCCAGAGCCTCAGACGCTGTAGTGTCTGCTGCCGATGCGATGAACGAGTGTACTGCGTGTCTGACATTGGTGTATGCATGCGGCCCAATCGGCGGCGACTTGACTCTCCTTGGCTTGCACTACATATGTGTGTGCATCTCATGCGTGTATGGACTGAATCCGCTGATTTTTGCTGATGTCGTGTTTTGGTTGACTACAAGTCGTTGGATCTCTTGTGTGTGCATCGTTAGGCGCAATTTTCAGGGCCGCATGCGTCTGGCTTTGTGCTCGTGCCCTCATTGATCTACATGCACTCAAGTAATTCACACAGACATACGACATAATGTAGTGTGATGATATGAATTGTTCCCCATCTGTGTGTGTGTGTGTGAGTGCGTGTGTGTGTGTCAGGGAAGCGTTGGCCGACTGGCATGCGGACTATGTTCAACTTGGTAGGCAAACAAAGGCTTGGTCGAGACGGAGGGGCTTCTCATGGACCTACGGTGTGTGTGTGTGTGTGTATGTATGTATGTGTACGTGTGTGAGGGTGCAGAGCCGATTCAGGGCGAGGCTGACGTCAAAGTGCCCGCCGACAAGTACCTTAGTGAGGAGAAGCGAGAGAGCACGAAGCACCACCATTAGCTACCTCTACTCCCCGTGCGTGCGTGCGTCCGTGCGTGGGTGCGTGTGGACGACAGGTGGCGAATGTCTTGTTCATCACCGGCGAGATCCAGACGGGTCTCTGCCGCACCGGCCGCATGCTGTTCTGCGATCACAGACGCGCAGGCCCCGACATACTCGTGCTCGGCAAGGATCTTAGGGTATACCACGCGCACACACACATTTACACACACGTGCACACACACACGGACACACACACACACACAGAGAGGGAGAGAGAGAGAAGGGCTGCGGTGTGGAAGGTCAGTGTGTCTCTCGTGTCTGTGCGTGACATCAGGGTTTGATGCTCGTATCTGCCGTGCTCTGCGACAACGAGATCCTGCTCAACAGGGAAGCAGGTACCTGGAAATGACACAGCTTCCGTGAGAGCGCCGTACTGGTTGTGGTTGGCGTGTGCAGCATGCACGGCAGACAGAGCAGGCCCGTCGGGCAACGGAAGAGACGAGAAGAAGAGCACAAGTTAGGCGTTGAGTCAGGTGTTCCGCGAGAGGATGCATGGCATGAAGCACAATGGTACGGCTCCACTGTTACACACACACACACACGCCTCGCCAAGACCAGCGTGCATTGTGTGTTGTGCCGTGTAGCGCTGTGCGTTCGTTGTGCAGGTGGTAATGGAGGACGAGCTGACAGAGGCGTGCGACATCGTCGTGCAGACATTCGGCCGAATGCGACTAGGTAGCAGGCCCTCCAGCTGCGGGCCTGCGTGTGTGTGCGTGGATCGTGTCGTCGTTCCATGTGTAATGCTGATGTGACATGCCTGCCTGTACAGTGAGTGACCCCGGTGGGAGAATGGGAAGGGGACAGGCAGTGAGAAAGAGCTACCCACTCACTTTTCACCTATCGATGCACACATCATCGCGTCTTCCAATTCCCGCGTGTATGCCTCCACCCCTGCTCGTGTGTCTGCTTGCGTGTGCGCCGGCCGCCTGCATGTTCCATGACATATTTCTGTGTCGTGGCAGCCGGCGCTGAGACCGTATGTTTGTCTCTCTAATATATCCTCCTTACCACCCTGTCTTTCATCATATCTCCCTCCCTTGATAGCCCTCTAGCTGTGATCGCCCTATCGGCCAGCTTGCTAGTCAATTTATGTATGTACAGCTAGATGTACGTGTCAATGATCGTGTGCATGTGTGAACACATGTGGCTGGTCGCTTGTATGGACTGTGTCGCTCTGTGTGGATTTCGATGGTGGCTGTCCGGCCCTTGTCTTTCTTCGGTCTTCTTCCCTCTGATGTACGTGAGCCTTGTGTGCGTGTGTGTGTGTCGTGCCTTCTCTCGACACGTACTAAATTCTTGCCGCTGTCTTGTGTGCGTTGCACGCACCGGCTGTGCGGTGGCTGTGCTGCAGCGCCGCCCGCTCACTACCAACAGTGACGGGACGGCGTGTCCGAACGGCCGAAGGGGCTGCTGCTTGGTGTGAGCGAGGCTGACTGCGGCGGCTTTACGCCAGCTGGGCCAACATGGCCATGCGCATCTTCCTGGCGCTTTTCTATATGGCCATGATGCGCCACAGGGGCGTGCTGTCGGCGTGGCGAGGGATGGGTGGGGCTGTCAGGGGTCTCGTGCTGCCCAAGACCGTCAAAGTGTGGGGCATTGTAGTGCTGGCCAGGCTTGTGTGTGAGGCGGCCATTGCGTGGGGGATGGAGGGGGGAATGCGGGCGACACTGCTCGTCAGCAGTGATGCAGAGTTGGTGGCGCATCTGTCACCACCATGTGGGGTGTGGCCTTGCGTGAGGCGATGATGGCTGCATGTGTGAGCGGTGTTGTGTTCGTGCTGACCTATAGGGATGTGTACCGATCTGTGAGGGAGGTGAAAGACAGCATCGAGGGGGACAGGACGGCTGTAATGAAAAGGCAAACGTGATCACCGGCAGCCATTCATCTTAACTCGCGTCTTGCTGCGAGCTCGTGGGGGCGTGTGGGGGCGAGGAGACTGCGAAGAGGTGAGCCACCAGTCCATCCGCACTCCGACGCCACGACAGTGTATTCCTCCCTCCATCCAGTCATCTCCTCCATGTGTGTGTTTCGTCAGAATCATGGCCGAGACCGAGAGACCTGAGGCGCTGGCCGCGCGTGCTGGGGAAGGGGAGGGGGAGGGAGGGAAGACGGGCGGGAAGGCAGCCACGGCCCTCAACGACCGGCGCGCGTCCGTCGCTTCGACGGCAGCCCCCCACGGCCGGTCATCCAGCCTGCTGCTGCAGCAGACGGGGAGTTTGGAGTCCATCCCCGAGGTCTCAGGGGGGGAGGCCTCGGGGATGGACCTGCGCGACATGGACGCTCTGCTGTCGGAGCTGGGCGAGCGAGGTCAGGGAACGGAAAGAGGGAGAGACAGAGAGATGAGATAGATCAAGTTGGAGGATTCCGTCCCTGTCTGTTGTTCATCGCTACAGAGATCGAGAGCTGCTGCCGCCTGTCGATCGAGGATCGTCCCGAGAAGACGGCCGAGTTGACGGAGCGCGGTGAGAACAGCGGCCACTTATCAGTACACACGGAGAGAGACACAGACTTGAAGGACGCACGAAGTTGTTCTCTTTGTTCCTGCCTGTTCATCGCAGCATTCACCACTCACAGCCTCGAGCTGTGGATCGACGAGGGGATTGACGACGACGCCAAAGGTGAGGGCATGACAGATAGACAGTGATGGGCTGAGTAGGGCAGGGAAAAATGCATCCAATCATGTGGCCAATGATGTGGTGTCTTCTTTGCCTGCAGCCCCACAGCAGCCGCCAAAGGCCACCCCCACGCCGGCAAGGATCCTCCCCCCCAGCCGCCGCTCGAAGGAGGACGATGACATTAACTACAACACCTACCCCAGGGAGTGGAAGACCTGGTGGCAGCGCTTGCGGCGGGCGTTGCGGGTGGGGTGTGCGTCTTGCGGCGCAAGAAAGCCGCCCCGCCCTCAACTCCCCGCCGCCAAGGTGCGGCAACAGGTGCAGACGACCGACCGATGCACCCACCTGCTCAAGACGCCATGGTGATGGGCGCTATGGGAGCAAGGGGAGGGAGGGAGGGAGGGGGGGACAGGGCGGTTATTGTCCATGTGACATGTGTGGTGGTGGAAGGAGGGGAAGGGGGAGGGAGAGAGAGCAAGGTATGCATCATGAGGGTGTCGTGTTCCCATGGCCATTGACTGAAGGGCGTTTGGTTGTGGGAATGGATGTGTTTGTATCGGTGGAGATACTGCAGCTGGCCTACTGTGCCGTGATCGATATGGGCAGGCAGACAAGCAAGCCAGCCAGCCAGTCAGACAGACAGACGGTACGTCTCCTGCCTTGTCCACTCTTGTCAGTGACCATCTTGTACACCCACGGTAAGAAGGAGCCTTTAAGGAGGGAGGCAGGGAGGGAGGGTTATTGTGAACGTGAGGCTCTATAAGTCTGTGGCCTAGCTATCAACTGCCTCAAAATTGCATTTGTTTGTCGCCATAGGTCGGTGGCTGTTGAGTCCTTCGTGTGAGTCTGGCTGTGTGTCATGAATGCGTGTATCGCTGTGGGCGAGCTATCAGGAGAGAGACCGAATGTGTCCGTCCATATGCCATAGAGACGAGAGACACTTACGGATGTCCCCGTGGCGGTGGATCATGACGTTCATCTGTGGCCTCACCTTCGCAAAAGCGGAATGTGCCATGGATGGTATCTCAGACTTACTTACTCATCATTATCTGTCGACTCCAGTGAGTGGGTCGCTCCCTGACATCGATCGATATCAATCAACATTCACTGAGAAACGTCTGGTCTCTGTCTGTCCGCGCAGCCATAGATAGCCATACAGACAGACAGATATCATACACACACGTAACGTACGTACGTACGTATCAATCAAACAGGAAAAGGCGAAAAGTAACGCATAGTGAAAACACCCGCCCCAAAACAAACAAAAAGAAAGCAACAGCCAACAGTACTGCCCCATGTGTGCATTACATGCGAGTGTTCAGCCGCACGCGCCACTCACGTCCGATGATGCTTCTCTTCCTCCTTCTTCTTCTTCTTCTTCTTCTCCGTCTGTCTGTCTGTCTGGCTGTCTGTCTGCGACCTCTACGTCGTTCCCAGCACGCCCCCTGTGGGAGCTGATGGGTTGATGGCGCCAGAGAGAGAGAGAGTGAGCAGAGTTGATACACACATGTCTGTCTGCCTGCCTGCCTGCCTGTGGTGTGCCCTTGCCTCTCTCCTTTCTCTCTCTGTGTCTGTCGCTCGTTCGGAGGTCGAGCGGTGCTCTGCGGCGTGGCGCAGTCGGAGCATTGTACGATGGCAAAAACAAAGAGAGCCCCAAACAGAATGAATGCCGCCCCCCCGCCGCGAAAAGTCAGTGGCCAAAGGAAAGCGAAGAGAGAGAGCTGGCCTGCCTTTCTGAACAGGAACACACGGGAGGGAGGGAAACCAACGAAAGAAACAGACGGCATGGAAAACGCGCTAAAGGCAAGAGGGTGAAAAGTGCTGCCTTCGAAAGAAAAAGGAAGGCGCAAAAAGATAAACCGGACCAGCACGAGAGAGACGATTGCACAAATGATTGAAAGGGTCCAGGGAGGCAGGCAGACAGGCAGGCATCCATCCAGGTCACTGTTTGCAGCTCACGCAGAGGGGAGGGGGATGGGGAGGGCGCTGAGCTGCCTGACTCTCTTCCTCATCTTACAAGGCAGCCCCACCCACACCACACCCACCCCCTCTCCACCCCACCATGGTCATATCTGTCAGTGTCCACTGAAAAAAGTGGCAGCCGAAAAGACAAAGAAATGGAGGATATGGACAAACACTTGCCAGCCGGCCGGCAGGCCAGCCGGAGAGGGAGAGAGGGAGGGAGGGAGGGAGGGAGGGAGGGAGGACGACAGCCATCCAGACAGTCACCATACCATGGCCAGGAGTGGTGGACACGGCAGACTCACTCACAGCGGCACGGCACTCTCTGGCGGCCATCCCACACACAGATGCAATGCATGGGGAGATAGACAGACACGAGTGGCAGGCATGGCATGGCATGGCATGAATGCATCATCAATGCAATATGAATGGTTCGATAAAGACAGAGCGGAGCGGAGCGTTAGTGTGTGGTCAGTCAGTATTGCAATCTACAGCCATCCACACAGCCAGCCAGACACCATCCAGCCAAAGCAAGGAGGAAGGCATGCAGGCATACAGCCAGGCAGGGAGGCAGCCAGGCAGGGAGGCAGCCAGGCAGGGAGGCAGCCAGGCAGGGAGGCAGCCAGGCAGGGAGGCAGGCAGGCAGGGAGGCAGCCAGGCAGGCAAGCAACAGAGAGATCGAGTCGTAGACTATCATCTTGTCATGAGTATCATTATCATCATCATCAAGCGTTGAACGTCTCGAGCGCTCGCCGGATCGGCTTCCTGCACACCGGACACTGCACACACACACACACACACAGACAGACAAGTGATGCCCCATCTGTGTCTTCCTGCTGGTCTCGGTGTGTTTGGTTGCTTGTCTGTCGTATCTGCGTGCGGACCATCCTGGGTGGCGGGAGCGATTCGGCGCATTGCGAGCAGACCACCCGGTGTGCGCAGTCGAGTAGGACGCAGTTGATGTCCCTCTCGTAGCACACCTTACACACGTTGCGCTCGATCTCCGCCGCCAACCGACTCAACAACTCGTTCACCTACACACACCAACACAGACCAACACACCATGCACACCACCTGTCTGTCTGTCTGTCTGTCTGTTTGCCATTCCTCGCCCCTCAGCGCAGACTGACTGACCCGCCGTTTGAGCTGCCCGGTCTCGTCGAGGTGGTCGTAGTCCTTGTCCGCCGCCTCTGCGTCGTTTTCTGTGTCCGGTGCGGCGCCGAGCCCCTCCATGCCCAGCCGCGCCCTCCTGGCCTGCCTAGCCTCGTCGCGGGGGATGCTCTCGACCAACGCGATCTTGTACATGTCGTTCTTGCGGCTGCCGTCGAAGCCACCTGCACACATCACACAACACACACATATAGAGAGAGTGTGTGTGTGCGGTGGCTGGCTGGCTGTCGGTGTGTGCGTTGCCCACCGAGGACGTACATGTAGCCGCCCCACACGACGGCACGGTGGAAGGTTCTGCAGACACACACACACACATGACATGTGGGGGGAGAGGAGATGAGAGGAGAGGAGAGGAGATCATGTTTCTGGCGGCATGTGTGTATGTGTATGTGTATGTGTGTGTGTGTGTGCTGTGCGTGACCTGGCAGTGGGCGGATGCCCCATGGTGTTGATCTGCGCCCACTCGCGCGTGTCGATGTTGAACTCAAACAAATCCGCAAACCGATCCTGCACAACACACACACATGCACATGCAGATGGTGGTGGGCGTCCATCCATCCATCCAGCCCCTCCCGTCGAGATCGCAACGTGTCCCTAGCTACCTGGTTCTTGTCCACCCCGCCGAAGATGAACATCGAACAGCCGTAGACGGCCGCGGAGTGCCTGCATGTGGGACACACATGACACACATGACAGACACAACACCAACCACTAATGGCCTGCCTCCTTGTCTCAAGTGGGCAACTCGTGTTCAAACCTCCACACCACTCACCTGTATCGCGACTTGGGAACGTTCCTGCCACGGTTGGGCACATTGTACCACTGAAACGTGCCTGCCAGACAAACAACGACCACAGCAACAGCCAGCCACATCAGCACCGCACCAACACACCATACACACATACACACCATACACACCTCCCCGCCCCGCCCCTTGGGCCGCTCACCGAGTGAGAATTCGTATAGGTCGTCCAGCGTCTCGTGACCGTTCCAGCCGCCAAAGATGAACATGCTGTTGTTGTAGATGACGGCCGTGTGCCCGAAGCGGCCCATGGGCGGGGGAGTCGCCATGGCTCCCGCCTCGGGCGGCTGCTCCCAACGATGCTGCTCTGCACGGTGCACAAGGAATCCATCCATCCATCCATCCATGTGTGTGTGTGTGGCTTGTATGTGTGTACCTAGGTCGAGCATCTGCAGGTCCTGGAACCTGACGCGTCCGTCGAAGCCGCCGAAGACGAGCATCCGGTTGTTCTGCACCACACAGCTGTGGTCTGTGCGGGCGGGGGGGTCGTCACCGGACGTGCGCACCTGAAACAAACAAGCACCCACCCATTGACATGACACACACAGATGTGTGTGTGTGTGTGCCATCCATCCATCCATCCATCCGTGTGTGTGTGTGTGCGGTTACTTACCGTCTCCCAGACTTTGTTAGGTATTGAGTATCTGAATACGTCGTTGAAGTACTCGCCGTCCTTCTTGGTGTAGCCGCCGAAGAAGTAGACGTAGTCGCGATAGACCACCCCCTTGCTGCCCGACCGGGACGCTGGCACCACGCCGCCCGAGGGAATCACCTTGTCCCACCTACACACGTCACATCACATCACATCACAGATACACACAGAGGGAGGGAGGGAGGGAGAGAAGGAGTGCGTGTGTGCTGTGGCTGGCTGTTGAGGTGTGTGTGTGTGTGTATGGGATGCATTGCATTGCCCACCGGTTGCCGGGGATGTCGTATTGGTATATGTCGTTTTGCCTGGCCGTCTCGTCGGTGCCGCCAAAGAGGTAGAAATGGTCGTTCCACACTACCACAGCATGACCTGAGAACACACACACACACACGCACACACACACACACACACATGGATGGATCGATGGGTGGACCGATGGACGGATCGGGTCTCGCAGGTGTGTGTCCTTCGTTCCTTCTCACCCACCCACCTGTCCTGGGTGTGTACTTGTCTCCCCTCTCGCCGGTGATGTGAATCCACTGCCAGAAGTCCTCAGGCATCACCGCATTCATCGACTCCGTCCCACGAGTCGCCGCGCCTGCACACACCCACAACACAACAAATACCACACACACAGATCACACAACCAACATGCGCACAACCACTCCACCCCACCCCCTCCCCCTCTCTGTCTGTGTCGGTCTGGTCTGCACATCTATTTGCATTCTTACCAGCCGCAGCGGCGCTGGCGGCCCCGTTGGTGAGCGCCCCGTTCCTGGCCACGTTGTTCCTCTGCTCCTGGATGCGCTCCTGCTCAGCGCTGAGGACCTTGATTCGATAGGTGTCGTTCTGCCTGCGGCCGTCGAAGCCGCCGAGGATGTACATGTACCCCCGGTGCATGACGGCACGGTGGAAGGTGCGGGCCGACGGCACGTTGCCGCCCGTCTCCAGCTGCGTCCAGGTGCGCGCCACGCAGTCGAACACATGGAAATCTGGGGGGGGGGGGCCCAAAAAGACAACCAACGGAGCAACGTTGTGCTGTGTGTGTGTGTGTGTGTGTTGGATGTGTGTGGTGTGTGCGTGTTGGATGTGTGTGGTGTGTGTGTGTATGGGTGGGAAGGGTTCCTACCGACGTATCGTGTCTGTGTCTTGTCAACACCGCCGAAGACGAACATCTTGGTGCCACCGATCACGGCAGAGTGCCTGCAGTGCATTGCATGACAGCGATTAATCCACATACATGGATGGATTCGAAGGTGTGTTTGGTGTGGTGTGTGCGTGTGCCTGTACCTTACCTGTATCTCGGTTTGGGTGCGCTTCCCCTGGGCGGCAAGTTGATCCACTCGTTGGTGCCAAAGAGGTACTCATACAGATCCGACAAAGTCTCGTGTCCGTCCCAGCCGCCGAACACATACCTGCACACACACACACACATACACACACACACACAGAAACATGACACACACAATGACTGACCCATCCAATCCACCTCTCCACCCCATCTGTCCATCCATCCATCCACCCCCCACTCAGACAGACAGACCGACAGATTTACATGCTATTCTCATAGACGACGGCCGTGTGGCCAAACCGGTTCTTGGGCGGGTTCTGCGTCGACCGGTTGGCCACGACGTGCAGCCACCGTTTGCTCTCGCCCGCCAGGCCGAGCGCCCGCATGTCGTTGAACCGGTTGCGGCCGTCAAACCCGCCGAAGATGTAGGCCGTGGTGCCGTACAGCACCATGCTGTGGTCGGTGCGGCGGGCGGGCGGCTCCCCGATGGGCTTGATGGGCGCCCAGCGGCACCGGGCGATGTCGAACTCGTGGACGTCGTTGAAGTACTCGCCGTCCTTCTTGGTGTAGCCGCCGAAGAAGTACAGCTTGCCCTCGTAGGCGATGCCCTGACACCCGGACCGGGCGCTGGGCGGCCGGGAGGGACCCCGGTCGTCCGCTACCAACTGCCACAGACCGTTCTCTGCGTGAGCCAAGGAATGGCACAACACACACACACACAGAGGAGAGGGAGAGAGAGTCCTCATGTGTATGTTTGCAATGATACGCACTGCGGTTCTTCCCCTTTCTGTAGTTGTGTGTGTGTCCCGCTCTTCCCGGCGCACCGATATTGAAGGCGTAGAGGTCGTTTTGGCGTGCGCTGCCGTCGGTGCCGCCGAAGAGGTACAGGACGTCGTCGTAGAGGACCACAGCATGCCCCGTGCGGGAGGAGTAGACGTCGCCGATGTTCTGGATTTGCTCCCACTCCATCCTCCGCCCGTTCGACACGCCGCCGTTCGTCTGCATCGGGGCGTGCCGGCCATTCATCATTGTCCCACTATCACGACATGGCGACGACAGCCGCTGAGGCGACAAGGCCTTCAGGCAAGGCAAGCAAGGCCTTCTCGGAGAGAGGCGACTACAGAGAACGAACAAGGACACACGAATGCGAGCTTGGAGTAGGTCGACTTTCAGCTCGCGCGCGACGCCCAAAAGTTCGGGTAGCGACTGCAGAGAAGCTGGTTACCCTTCTCTCGTCATCTTGTAGCTCCTCAGGAAAAGCGAGAGCTGTCATCTGTGAGTCAGTGTCAGACCTTCGGTTCGATGGTTGTGGACAAGCCGGCCTCCGCCGGGCACTCCGACGCCTCCAATGGCAAGACGGAGGACGGCTTGAAGGTCACCAAACCCGCAAGACCCAAGACCAAGTGAGTCCTCCTCCTCGAGGGATCAACATGCTGTGTGTACTAGACCTGCAGCATATGTGTGTGTGTGTATGTGTGTGCAGGTCTGACGCGTCGACGGATGCGTGTCATGTGTCAGAGGCGACGTCGGACCACAGCCACGAGCGGGAGTTGGAGTCGCCGACCCCTGCCCAGGACGACGGCCACCCCGCCGGCGTGTGCGGGCCGATACTCACCATCGACGATGTGCCGCAGAGGATACGCGACACCGAGGTCAGCCCTCCTCGGGCCCACCAGGGGAGAAACACGCAATGGGTCCATCCATCTGTCTGTCTGTGTGTGGACGTGTGTGTGCAGTATGCCGTGAGGGGGGCGGTGGTGGCGCGCTCGTGGGAGTTGGCGAAACAGCTGCGGGACAACCCTGGTGACTGAAAGGGGGAGGGATCGACTCAACTATCTGCAAGCGATTCGATGGCTCGATTCATGACGTGTTTGTTGTCGGTGCGTGTGTGTGTCATGATGCATTGTCAGGTTCCCTGCCGTTCAGTGAGATCATCCCGGCCAACATCGGCAACCCACAGGCGGTCGGACAGAAGCCCATCGCTTTCAACAGACAGGCACGTGACGTGACGTGACGTGGGCGGGAGAGTACAGATCGCCAGCCCTGCCCATGTGTGTTGTGTGTGATGGATCCGATCGGATTGCTGCAGGTCCTGGCGTGTGTGACGAATCCCCACTTGATGGACCAGCCCGGGCTCTTCCCAGCAGATGTGGTGAGCCGCGCCAGGTCCTACTTGAAGTCATTCCCGTCATTCGGGGCCTACAGCCACAGCAAAGGTCACACACCACAGACAGACAGACAGACAGACCGATCGCCGGCCACACACATGAGATATGTGTGTGTGTGTGTTGCGTGCCTGCCTGCCTGCAGGCATCCCGCAGTTGCGTGAGGACATCGCCAGGTGGTTCACCAAGAGGGACGGCATCCTCACTGACCCGGAACACATCATGCTCACTGACGGTACGGTGCACACTCTAAGGCACGCAACCCAATGCATGCAATGCCGACGCATCTATACCTCTCCATCCCCCTCTCTCTCTCTCTCTCTCTCTCTGTGTGTGTGTGTGTGTGTGTGTGTGTGGCAGGTGCGAGCCCGGCGGTGCGCACGGTGTTGGAGCTGCTGCTCGAGAGCAGCCGCGATGGCGTCATGATTCCCATCCCGCATTACCCCCTCTACTCCGCCACCATCACACGACTCGGCGGACGCGCCATCGGCTACTATCTCAAAGTCAGTGACAGACACCCGCACGAGTCGAGTCTTGTGTCATCCATCGGTCCATTTGTCCATCTGCTAGGAGGAAGATCAGTGGGGCCTGGACATGGGCGAGCTCCAGGGGGCGTTGGACAAGGCGCGCCAGGCGGGCGGCCGCGTGCGCGCGCTGGTGGTCATCAATCCGGGCAACCCCACTGGCGGCATCCTCACCCGGCAGCAGATGGTGGACGTGGTCGAATTCTGCGAGAGGGAGAAGCTCGTGCTGCTCGCCGATGAGGTCTACCAGGACAACGTCTACCTCGACGAGAAGCCCTTCGTGCCGTTCAGACGGGTCAGGGAGAGAGGGGACCACACACACTCATAAAGACCCATCCAGCCAGCCACACACGGATGTCCGTCTGTGTGTGTGGGTGTGGTGTGTGCAGGTGTTGGCGGATCTGTCGTCTCCTTTGGAGCTGTTCACGTTCCACTCGAGCTCCAAGGGCGTGACGGGCGAGTGCGGTGTGCGGGGCGGCCTGCTCCACGCACACAACGTCGACGAGGCCGTCATCGAGCAGCTGTACAAACTCTTCTCAATCAGCCTCTGCGCAAACACACTCGGACAGGTAGGTAGGCACATCCAATGACAGAAAGACAGACCCACAGCGCATCACATCACATCACACCAACCTTCCCTTGTGTCGTCCGTCCATCCATCCATCCGTGTGTCTGTCAGGCCATGATAGCGTCCATCCTGACGCCGCCCGAGCCGGGATCGCCTTCGTACGACCAGTACACCCGCGAGCGGCGTGCGATCTTCAGCGCCCTCCAGCGGAAGGCCATCCTCGTCCACCGCAAACTCAACGAAATGAAGGGCGTCTCCTGCCAGGTACACACGTCATCCGCCACCCACCCTCAGACATCCATGCAGCCAGCACGGTGGCGTATGTGTGTGTGTGTCCCGTGTATGTGTGTGCAGCGGGTTGAGGGTGCTATGTATGCCTTCCCGCGGATAGAGCTGCCGCCGCGGGCTATCGAGGCTGCCAGGCAGGCGGGGCAGCAGCCCGACATGTTTTACTGCCTGCAGCTGCTCGAACACACCGGTCAGTCAGTCAGTCAGCGACACCCACACCCACACAGAGAGAGAGAGAGAAAGACAGACAGACAGAGAGGGAGGGGCGTGCTGACCTGATCCATCGTGTGTGTGTATCTCTCTCTGTGTGTGCAGGTGTGATAGTGGTGCCTGGCAGCGGGTTCGGCCAGCGGCCGGGCAGCCTGCACTACCGAATGACCATCCTGCCTGAGGTAGGTAGAAGTGTGACAAACTGAGACACTCAGTCACACTGTCATTGGCGTGTGTGTGTGGCGATGGTACGGTGTGTGTGCAGGAGTCGAAGCTAGGAGGTGTGTTGGACCGCATCAAGGACTTCCACGACCAGTTCCTCGCACAGTACTCATAGCATAACTGACTGACGCAGGAGGGAGGGAGGGAGGGAGGGCGAGAGAGATGGGTACCGGTGCGTGTATGTGGGTGCGTGGCCTGACTGCCACGTGTCCTTTCCTACTGCATCCATGTGTATGCTGATGTTTTTCTGTCGGTTGCCGTGTGAGTGTGGGCGTGGGCCTGGGAGGGGGTGGTGCATCGCATGTGTGTGGTGATTTTTCATGTCACCCTGTGAGTCTGTCTGGTGCAAGTGGTTGTGTGCCTGGCTGGCTGGCTGCCTCGTTGATGTAGGGAGGGTGTAAACAAAGCCATCCATCGATGGGATGGCGCGCGAGCGATGGGCGATAGCCGGGCGATGGGCCGGCGACCCGAACGAACACGATGTGTGGTGCCGTGCGTCGAGTGCTGCTGGGTGGTGTACGTGTGTGTGTGTTGGTGCCTCTGCTGCTCGCCGCCTGCTGCATGAGATGAGTGGATGCATTGACCCGCGCGTGTGTGTGGTGCATCTATCTATCTGCGTGCAGCGCAGGCCCATTTTTCGTGCCCTTCACGACCCGTGCGACCATGGATGAGATGGACGGATCCACACGTCGATCGCTACGTTATACGGTATGTATGGTGGGAGTGGACAGTGGCCGACCTGCAACAGTGCAATTTTCCATGGCTGAGGAGGGAAGACGGACTGACTCGGTCCATCGGTCTCTGCGTGTGTATGGGTGTGGGTGTGCATGTGTGGGTGTATGTCTTCATTGTTTGCACGCAGCAGGAGCAAAACCAGCAGTGTCGGTCGGCTCATGGTACACACTGTGCGCCTCCCCGGCCACGCTCCAGTGGTCGAGGGCCGGCGCTGCCTGGATGGATGGATGGATAGGGTGAGAATGCAGGCGCATGTGACTATCCATCCATCCATCGCACCCCACCCGATCCCACCCCACCCGTCCCCCACCCGCGCCTTCAATCGTGGGATGTCCGACAGATCTGACGGGCTGGAGCTGCTGCTGCTGATCGTCGACGAGCCTTCAACCAGGGAGCAGCCACACGTTCAGAGATCTTCGCCAAAATTGCGAGCCCGAGTCCTCGCCATTCCCATGACGCGTGTTTGTCTCCTAGCGTTCGTACGAATGCATTGCTTTGAGCGCATTTTCTGACAGGAGGGACCCGATAGATAGCATAGCGATATGGAGGGTCCTCCCCGCCCCTCACCGTCACTCGCCCCACCTCAAACGGCAGTTGCTGCCTCGTTCGATGCATCTGGTGCATCCGGTGACCGCACACCGCCCCGCCCGACGCGCCGCGCCAGCCACGAGAAGAATGGTGACGTGATGCACCACTCGGCGCCCGCCCGGCAGAGCTGCAGTGGAGTGGGCGGCCGGCGCGGCAATGCCAAACAGCAGTGGCATCTGCCCACCTGGCACACACACGACTGCCCCGACGACAAACGCAACCTCATCTTCTTCGACTGGGTGAGAGAGCAATGGAGAGAGGGAGGGAGATCGTCGCACAGAGGCGTGTTTGCAATGGCATCCCTTTTTTCTCTGCCTTCGTTTCAGGACGACACTCTGTGCCACACGGCGGCGTTGCGGGGGATGGTTGGGCGCGGCAGCGACGACCCTCAGCTGGTGAGGCGGCTTGACGAAGTGGCGAGTCGGCTGCTGCGCGTGGCGGTCTCTGAGGGCAAGGTCATGATAGTGACGTCGGCCAATGTGGGCTGGGTGGAGACCAAAGCCATCGAGCACTTCCCGCAGCTCACGAAGCTCATCGACCAGCACCAGATTGAGATCCTCTCAGCCACTGAACGATTCCCCGACCCCAAATTCGCATACACAAAGAAGGTCACAGGGGAGGGAGAGGGGGAATATGTCTTGATGTGTTTGTCGATGTGTGTGTGTGTGTGCGTTGGTGGGGTTTGCAGGCTATGATGGTGGCTGAGGAGTTGCAGATGTACCCCAAGGGCCGCTTTGACACCGTCATTGCCATCGGTGACGACAATCAGGAGATGGAGGCCGTCAAACACGTTACCACGTAAACAAATCACACACAGAGGAATGACAACAAGGCGCCCATCGATGGGTCTTCTGTGCTGCTCTGCAGGTATTTCGACTACATCCGTGGCCGTACGGTCAAGTTGATGCCGCTGCCGACCACTCGGCTGCTGGTGACGGTGCGCAAAGGCCCACACCACTGCAATGAGACCACCAGATGGAATGCCTTCTCCCTCTGTGGGTTTGTGTGTTTGTCAGGAGTTGGAGCGGCTCGAGCCAATGTTTTTGGATGTCATCAACTCGACGCAGCGCAGCCACTGGGACATGGAGGCCATACTAGCGGTACACTGACCCACACACAACTGACACACAGACAGACGGTCATTTGCCCTCTTTGTGCGGCGTTGTGGGGGCAGGAAGATCCGTCGAATGCGGCCCTGCTGTCTGAGTATTATCGCACCACTCACGAGCGCGTCTACGCGTCGCTGCCGCCCACCCCCGCCAGACACCCCCTCCCCGACACGGATGAGACAGACAGGCATCCCCTCCCAAGTCCCTCCCCCCCGCCCCCAGCCACCCCTGCACACGAGATCGCTGCCATGGGTGTCCCCTCCCCCCCGCCGCCAGTCGCCAGCCGGCCCTCCCGACTCGACAGAGTGGTTGAGTTGGCCGATGCTGACAGGGGCGGGGGGCCGCCGGTGGGCGCTAAAGTGAGGCCGATCAACGCCAACACGGACCTGACGGCCAGGGATGGGGGCGGGGGGATCCGCCACACGATGGCCGGCGCTGTGAAGGGCAAGGGTGAGGGTGGGCCCTACCCGCTGCAGCGCCACAGGACGGCGGGCTTTGTGCCGGAGGGGCCGAGTGGTGCGGCGGTGCGCGAGGGGCTGGTCATGCCGCCGCCGCCACCCACTGCGGTGTCTGGCCGCAAACAGAGAGATAAGAAGGATGGCGGCCAGCCGGTGTCCGCGGCCCCCCCGACGCCCTCTGCGTCCATCGGGCGTCCGCCTCGGCCGTCTGGGGTGCGGCACAAGTCACGGCCGTCCCGCGTGGCCCATCCGGCGGTGAGAGACTTGGTGACCCCTCAGAAGCGGCCATCGTCCGCCGCCCACCTGGCCGACAGCAGCGAGGACAGCAAGAAGCAAAAGAGCCAGGACCAGACAGAGAGGGGGCCGGTGCCGATGGACATCAGCCTGCCCACCCCGCCTTTGTTCCACGAGGGCCCGGCCGCCGCGTCGCCGACGGCCATGCGGTTCGACTTTTTGCGCAAGGGCGAGGGGGATCGGCTGTGGGAGCGGCGTCGGCTGAGTGTGCGGGCGTCGCTCGAGACGGTGAGGCGGGGGAGCGGTGGGCAGCGCCGCAAGAACATGTCGGTGGAGAGGGACAGGAGAAGGGCCACAGGGGCGGCATAGCTTAGCTTAGATGCTGTTGCAGATACCAAGGGGGACAAACAGGGGCTGCGGGAGAGAGGGGGGCGCCTGGCCATCCATGGTACACTTAAGTATGTGTGAGCGTGTCAGTGTCTTCTCCACGTGTACAGATTGGCGTGGGACGATACAGTCTGTGGCGCGTAATATATTGTGCATGGCGGGCGCATGGATGGATGGATGGATGGACTGCTGAGTCATCACGTCGGTTTTGCAGACCAGTTTCCTTGGAAAGCGCACACGGATGGTCGGATGGGCAGGATGAGACAAATAGATTATACACACAAATACAACGTGAGCATCGAATTGTCATTATATCCACACACACAGCTTGGCGATAAACCATATCCTGCAGCCAGCAGGCAGCTGTAGGCAGCATGACCTTCATCTCACTGGTATATGCCACAAATACACACCGACTCACTCACACAGAACCTATCTATCTACCGCCGATCGGCACTCTCAAAATGCTATGCCCAACTCACCAGCAGCGTCCGCTTAATCCCTGCGCGCATTCACTCGACGCCATCCAGCTGTTCGATGGCCTGCCGCACATTCTCCCACACTCCCTCAGGCGCCACCCGCTCCAGCGACCCGACGTCCATCTCCCACCGACGCTGGCCGACCTTGGAGCACAGGGTGTCGAAGTGCCGGTTCTCTCGCTCACGGTTGCCGCCGAACAACTCGACGAGAGCCGATCCTGTCCGCATGTAAATGCACAGGGTCAGGCCCGCCCCATGGACGCCCACCAGGATGTCAGCCGAGGCAGCCCTCAACACCTGCTCCCTGAAGGAGTGCGAATCGCCAGGGTTGAAGTCCTCTATCTGCCACCCAGAGAAACGTGGTGACTCGGTCGCCGCAGCCCTGTCTAATGACTGCCGCAGGGACGCCAGCAGCTCAGCCTCGTTGCCCACCTGACGTCGCAATAACCCGAATACGCTCATTACACGACGTCTGGGCGTACGTGGCTGTGGCGTGGCTCACGTGTCTGTCTGGCGTGTAGGTGTGGATGCGGCCTCTTGCCTTGTCGACAACTTGTGAGTACGGCCGTCTGCTGAGCCACAAGATGCGCCTCTCACGCCTCGGGGGCCACTGCCACTGGTGCTGCAAGAACTCATCCGCCATGGAAATGGTCGTGTTGGTCAGCTGGCCCAGGCGTCTTTTGTCCAACGCCTCCACGGTGCCGCTTTTGCTGTTGGTGTCACGCTGAGAGGTGGAGACCTTGAGTGCTGTCAGGACGTGCGTGCGGAAGGCGTGCATGATGGCCGAGCCGCAGAGATTGGAGTGCCCGTCGCCAAGTGGGTGGAACTCGGGGCGGGAATTGCCGCGCAACAGGATGCCATCGGCAAGATGCTTCTGCCAGTTGAGGTTCA